AGAAAAATAAAATTCACAGTTTCTGGTAGGTTGTTGTGATTATGAACTTGTCCTAAAGATTTGTCTGGATGGTAGTGCAATCTAGGAATAAGGTACTGAGATAACAGGAAAGTACCAAATTGGTTTTATCTTGGGAGTAAAACAGAAAAGTTTGAAAGCAGTCTGACATTGTCTTGAAAATTGATCACTTCTCAACCAGCAAAAAGATTTTCAGAACTCTACCTTCAGTGTTGCAGCATTGGTAATATTGCGCCAGCTCTCTGAAGAACAAAGTGGCTCCTGGAAGATGGTTTTCGGGGTTTCCTCCAGTTTTGGACTCAGTGGCGCAGTAAACCAGCCACGCATAACCAAATTGCAGGCATTCCATTGATTCCCTCATTAAATTCACAAGCAGGTCACAGATGAGTGACCCAGTGGTAGGGCTTTCAAGAGCAATCTTTTTTTGCGCTTGTTGTATATCGGCCATTTTGTCCTTGATGTCCTGAGCGGACATTTCATCTGCCGATAGCTCTGTTCTAGTTGTTTTGTTATTCAAAGCATGCTCCCATCTGGAATTTTCAGAGACAAAAGGATGATGGAATCCATAGTTTCAGGCGAATCTCTTTGAATGAAATTCCAAGGGACCAGCCAAAAAGTCGACTCAGGGAGGTTCTGAGTTAGGGAAGTGCCATTTCAGCCTTCAAAAAATAAAAGAAATTGAAGGAAGTTGAAATTGATATGTTTTGGCCCGAAACTGCCCTGTAAAGAAGTTGGCAGGATTCTGAACTTGGAGGCGAGGGTTTATATTTGCCCAATTATTCTTTTGCTTCCTTTTGCAAAGCAAAAAGTTAAATTTATATTGCTTTTCTCTTTCCTGGGTAACAAAAATAATAGCCAAAAAGCTTCCAGAAATCCGAGTTTTGAAGGTTTGATGGGAAAGCCTTTGAGTAAGTAAGGTTTTCAGTGCATCTTTTTCTAAGGGAATTTGGTAAGGGACTTGAAAATAATTCGACTGAGGAAAGTTCAAGTTATTGAGGTTCAAGTGAAGGCTCTTGTGTATCCAATTAAAAAAATAATTTGATATCATATTTTATTTAATTTCATCAGGTGGCAGATAAAACTTGAAGCTTCAAGTAGTTTTCAAGGTCCTTTCTTTCAACTAAATTAAAGATGTTGAATTTGGAAGTTTTTACTGTAGGAAAGTTGGAGTGTAGTTGTTGTTAAACCCCCGGTATGTGCTTGGGTCTTGACCAGAGAAATTAGTAATTTCTGTTGCAAAATTTTTAAATTATCATCGAAAAATTTTGGTACTTCAACGTTATCGACCGACTTACTTGGAGTATTTGCCCCAAAGTTCTGAAAGCGGAAAAATCGCGTTGAAGTTCCTCCAGGTCCCAAATTTCGCTTCAACATTCGCCAAAAATTGCTCAACCAAGGACTTAGCCAATTTGCAGTCCACATCATCTTCGTCACTCATCATTTCAGACGGTAGCGACGAAGCCAGTCTTTCCATGACGATTTTTGTTCTTGTTCGTCCAACGGCATCTTTGACTGCTTGAACCGCATTAGAGCAAATGGATCTTTTATCTTTCGGGCGGTAAATGAAATGCTGATTTCCTGAAAGCCCCCGAAGTGCCATTGGCACCTGAATGCTGCTATTCATGATAATCCACGTTACGAGCAAGCCCATTTCCTCGAAAAGGTCGACGAAGTTGTCCAAAATGTCGGTGTCTTCGTGCACGAAAACCACGATGGAATCGCACTTCATGGCGATGAATTCAACCAACTTGGAATCCGGTGCCACGGAATCCCCGAGAACGTTAAGCACAACGCCCTGAGGCACGAGTTTTCTGGAATTCCGCTTCTGACTCTCTGCGGCAGTGTAGAAAATCCCAGCCTCGATCCATTCCTTGGTTATTGTGCCTTCGGGTCTGACCTTGAAGACGCGATGGTCCCCGAACAGCGCTTTGTTACAGATGAACTCTTTGCTAAACGTGTCGCCGTGCATGTTGTCTCCTATCTCGAGCAACGGAAGGACGGGTGCTTCCCAGACGGCGAATGGGATTTTCTCATTGGCTAGGGGTAACAGGATGTCTCGGGTTGGCCACATGAGCACTTCCTGGGATTTTCCGTTGATGAAGGATTGTTCGGCTGAGAAGGGAAGTACCAGGGGAAAGCTGGAGCCGAGTTGGAACAGTTTCTTGTAGATGCTTTGCCGCACGAAATGGTTGGAGTTTTGAAGTGTGATGAGGAACTGGTCCGTTGAGTTCATCGTGGTGGCTAATGAAATCCGCGCTATTCGCTGAATTCCTTTACTCGTTTTTTTTTTTTTATCGAATTTCGTTCATGATTTCGCGGGAACCAATTGAATTGCAGTCACTTTTTTCGCTTCTTCTCTGCCCATACGGGGAGAAATGATGACCGATGCGCGAAAATTCAATAGAAATTTCGTCTTTTTCTGACGCAGTTGAATTCTCTGACTCTGCAGCGAAATTCTCTCGAAAAATCTTTTTCTGTTCTCCTGAATTTCATCGTTCCGTTAACCACAAAAATCTTCATTCGCAGAAAAACGTTGTAGGCCAAATCGTTGTTGAGAGCCAGAGTTCATGGAATCTCTAAACGAAATTCGGGGGAACGAAAAGAAAAAACATCGCAGAGATAATTTTGTTGCAGAGAGATTGCAAATGCTCATTATATTATGCTCATTATTGTTATGCACAGAAAATTATTGTAAACAAAAACGTTTTATAGACAGTACTGTACTTGAATTCGTACGAGCATTTGCATTCTCTCTACAACGAAATTCGGGGGAACAAGAAAAAACCTTGCAGAGATAATTTTGTTTTAGAGAGAATGCAAATGCTCGTACGAATTCAATTACTGCACTGTCTCTGCAACATTGTTTTCTACAATAATTTTCTCGGTACAGTACAGCGATTTTTGTGGCTCACGAGGTGGTTAGGGGATCCTCAATCGTTAGTTATGGATTCTTTATAACAAAATTCAGGGGACGAAAATATCGTTTTAGAGAGAATGATATCCGATGTGCGAAAATGAAATCGAAATTTCGTCACTTTCTGATGCAGGTGGATTCCCTCTGCGAAATACGATTTGTTTTTGGTCCCCGGAATTTCGTTATAGTGAACCCTATATGATGGGTACAAGATATCCCTCAGGCAACCACAAAAAACTCGTTATACCTGTATATAGAGAAAGCGTTGTCGAGAGAATCTAAATTGTACAGTACAGTATTCGTATGAGCATTTCTCTTTGCGTGAGAATACTTTCGATTCTCACGCGTCTCTTATTAAAAAAAATCAAAATTGGAAACACATACTGTATTGTCTTAGCTTTTTCGCGTAAATACGGCAATTCACGACGATAAAGAAATACGTATGAACCACTGCGCAAAATATACACGTATGAAATTAATTTGCTTCGTCCGTGATTATCTGAGCGGATTTTATGTAATAACGTGAAGCAAGTGACTTCGGAAGACCGTGAACTGTTCATGTATATACAGTACGTATGTATGTCTTGGTGATATCGCATTTGACCGTGATAAACTATTTTATATCGGTAGATAGCATGCTTATCTGTCTGCAGAAAAATTTCGAGATATTCTCTGTCATTGATTTCTTGATTCCTCGTCGTCGTTTGACCGCGATCCTTCGACCCCCCTAGAAAAATGCTATCGAATCGCCGACCGTTTCCTGATAAGATCCACATTCACGCAACATTTTAGGGACATTTTTTCTCCCATTCCTCGTGACGCGTATTTTCGTCACAGTTCTTGTTGAAGTGCGTCGAGTTTCTTTTTTTTGACGTCAGGTTTGACGTTCTGAGTCCCGACAGTGACGTTGAAGAAAGTGTTTGCATTCATTTTAGAAACGGAGAAGAATGGTACCGACTCCGAAGTGCGATTCAGCAGATGATGATGAGACCGAAGGAGGTCCGTCATTTTTTGCCGTTGGTTGCTGGAGTTGTTGATGATTTTGTTGACCGGCTTGGGTCGAAAATTGACCCAGTGACGCAACAAGTTTCACTACTGAGAGACGAGATCGCCAAATGGAGCCTTGAATGTGAGGAATTATTGTCATTTATACTCATTTATGTCAGTTTATTGCAGTGGACGAGTTGCGCGAGTGTCCAGACACGATAAAGTAGTAGAAAATTGGTAAGAAGTTTCAGAAAAACCTGATAACTTGTTTTTGAACAAATTTCATTTTAGGAATGGAGATAACCGTTTTCAAAACAAAAAATATCAAGCATGAGAGCGAAAGGGATCTAATAAAGAGTGGGGCAAAGTTCTCGCCGATTTGCTGAGACGAAATAGGACAAGATAGAAATTTGTTAAATATTGTACTTCCAAAAGACTCTGCACTCGACATTTTAAATTAGTCAAGTTTGACAACATCTAGTTCCGAGCATTGCAGACATGTCATTTTATCATCTAAAAAGCGTGCAGATCATCAGATGCATTTACTCGTACTTCATGTCGCACTGTCTTGAATATGTGTTGGAAACGGCAGTGGGACAATTTCAAGTACAGAACTGTACTTGGGAATTGAGTTTTAAAATGTATCCATGCGGAATACAAACCACGTCCATGAGAACGCTAGTAGCATGTAAATGGAATAATTTTTCAAATGATGAAAGCACGCTTTCATACGATATAGAAGAGAAAAAAATACATTTATATTTTTTGAAATGATTTTTCAAAACTTTATTTTCTCATAATGATTATAGGAAAGGGTGTGCGCTTGTGATCATGTGCCAAGAAAAGGAGAAACCAAGTTCAAAGCATTGCCGTACACTTTTATTTGACGAATATTAGGGAAAATTAATGTACAATTAGTGCCTAAAATACTACAGTATTTTTCATGTTATTGTTATTACTGTATTTCATCAAACCATATTTAATGGTACAGTATCGATATTTTCCTGGGAGAAAGCTGTCATTATTTCATTAATTATTTTTCATGTTCAAAGAATAAAAATTTGTCTTCGTGTAGCTTGAAATTATTAAAGAGGACAGAAGATCACAGACACAAACGCATATTGAAATTAATCATTCGATTTAAATAGGGTTCGAATCCTGGACCATTTTGTTTCCAAGTTCTTGCTTTAATCAATGAGCCTCAGAAATAACTGCTCAAGTATTCATTTTTGTACTCAATATCTTGTTTGTGTACTGTTCTGCGTTAGCACTTTTCGGAGATTTTAAATAGACTCAAGATCTACGTAGGGTTAAAGGTGGGGGTTTTTTTTTCGGGAGTAGATCAAGTACCGGTTTTTTCAGTGTCGGTTCGTAAAATGTGATGAAGATAAAGTTTACAATGTTTCTTTTCTTATTTCAGCTTCAGCGATGGTGTGTTTCGAAAAACGTTTAGGCTGTTTTGATGGCGGAAGTGGAGAAACATGGGCTGGGAAAATGGTCGAGGCGAACAAACAAATATTTCTCTTGTCTGGTTTATTGAAATTCAGTCTTCCACTGTACAAACATTTTGGCACGCCCAAGTGGAAAGAAATCGTCCGCCACGAAGACTTCTTTTACGCGTAAGGCTTATGTTCAAAGTTTTTTTTAGAATTTTTTTCAACCGAAAAGTGAACCCGGGAAACGCATCCATTTTAAATTTGTTTTTTATTTCATGAGTACGATTTTGCAAATTTTTTTCTACCTTTTTTCGGGTATTACTGAGAATTCCCAAAGCTTTCTTCAATCTACCGAATTTCAAAGGCTGAAAGTAAGCTCACTGATGATTACTCAAGTGCTCGCAGAATTTCGATTTACTGCAAGTTTAATCAAAAATTCCGAGTGAATCACGTCCCGTTCGTTTCCTCTCAGTGGTCACAATATGAATTTGTGCATTTATAATGAAGTTAAAATGTTAACGAAGTCGAGATGATTGAAGTCATACCTTTTTTCGTTTTTGTTCTTCGTGCCGCTTGTAAAAACATAGATTCGTGTTTTGGTTCTTTCCTTTTTTGTACCGACTAGAGAAGCTATGCGTCTCGTCAGAGAAACGATATCAAAAATACGGGACGCAGTTGACAAGGAATCTCTGGAAGAAGGTCAGTACTCATTCATGACCTACCTTCTGTCACGCGGCGAGCTGCAAGAAAAAGACGTGTTCATCCTCACGCTGTCTTTGTTTGCGGATGGATTGAGTACGGTATGTTTTTTTTTCTTTCTCGTGATTCAAATAAATTCAGGATTTCCATAATCTTGCGATTGGAAAGTCAGCATTTCGAAGGTCTTGGGGTTGAAATGTGCTTTCAGAAGTGCCTGAAATTGGTGATGAAAAGTTTCAAGTTTTGGAAGAATTGCCTGAAGAAGGGGAAAAGTAAACAAGAACTTGTTCTATTTTGAATTTTGAAAAATCTTGCATCGAAAAGAAACTTCACCAAAAAAATATTTTTCTTGAGATCTGCTTTTGTTTTCCTTCAGACGACCCCAGCTGCGCTTTACAATCTTTATTGCTTGGCTGCGAATCCCGAAGCTCAAGAAAAACTGAAATCTGAGATACGTGAAAAAGTGAAAGGCGAAGTTACTTCGGAGACTGTCGAGAACTTGCCGTACCTGAAAGCATGCGTGAAGGAAGCCTTTCGGTGAGTCATCATTTCCCCTGGTTTCGAAAAGTTATTCATTTTGCAGCTTTGCATTGAATATCTTGAAAAATCTTAAAATTAATTCGTGTAAATAACCTTAGAATTAAATCGTGTAAAAATCTCAGAATGAGATTGTATACGTAATCTTGAAATTAAATTGCATTGATAATCTGAAATTTGAATCTTACAAGTAATCTTTGAATTTTAATTCATAAATAATCCTTGAAATTAAATTTAATAAATAATTCAGGATCAAATGATTTTATGATTTAATTTCATCGATAATCTTGAAATTTAACGTACTAGATAAGTAATTTCATAATTGAAAGTAAAAAATATTTGAGAATTACATGTATTGATAATCTTGGAATAAAATATTTTGAATAATCTTAGACTTACATGTGTCAATAATACTGTATTAGATGACCGTGTAAATTTATGATCAAAATTGAATTATCTTACTTCCTCTAAACTATGTATGCTTTAGCTTTATTTTCAACGTCTCTGTAAATTCAGTATATCTTGTCTACTTCTCTATTTAGGCGCTTTCATGCGTTTTATTTTTGATGGAGATATTGATAGGGTGTTATCTGAAATGAGAGTTTCCTCGTGTCTTCTCCTTTGTGCGATTAAAATGATTTTCTGTGCTGCAGTGAGTCCTTGAAATTGATTGATTCTACATAAATGGCTTCTGGTTCGATTGGGCAGGCCTTTATTTGATTGATGGGATTAGGATTAGGGATCATCAGTCTCACGAGGGTATTCTCAAGAATTTCTGGAATTTTTCGATAAACCACGTGTAGTGTGCTGCAATCCTATTCAATATATTTGGTGTGTTATATGTTTGAAAGTTTAAATGAATTCAAGGAGTGGGACCGCTTTTTGCACAGCGAAATACTTTACGTAGAAAGTTGAACTGTTGTTGCTTTTATCTTTTTTGGTCCCTCAAAATATTAGCCCAAAAGCCTCCAGAAATTCGAGTAATTCCGGTTTGAGATTGGAATATCTTTGAGTTGTGGAGGTGTATGAAACATTGTGCTTAATGGATTCGGCATGAGGAGGTTAGAGGTATTGAGGTTCAACTGTCAATTAATAAAACAGCGTATAAAGACTGTATTTTCAAATAATGACAGCCTGAGTTCTGTTCTAGATTGCGATGTTTGTCGGAAGTCGAGATCTTGTGAAGAAAACCCTCGTGATTGATGGGCGAGGAAAATTATGATCTGTGCTTGGTATCAAGTCTATCGTGAGCATTGGATTATTTCGCAGGTTGTACCCGGTTGGAACGGAAGTTTCGAGGGTTATTCAACAGGACTTGGTTCTCTCTGGATTCCATGTTCCTGCCGGAACTCACGTGGACTTGAGCCCCAGTGTGCACTTTTTATCGGAAGAGCACTTCGAAGACGCTGCGAAATTTGTTCCTGAAAGATGGCTGAGGGACAAATCGTATTCCACACCGAAAGCAAATGCGCATCCGTATTTGTTGACTCCTTTCGGCTTTGGCACTAGAATGTGCGCAGGTGAGAGATATATTTTCTTACTTTCGTAGAAAAATGAGGGTCGCTTCAGAATTTCGCCAATACAACACCTTGAAATTGCGAAAGGTTTTTTTTTTTCGTAGGGTCTGGATTTTCATTTTTCCGTCTACCAAAATTAAATTTGAGCTTTCACTTTTTTTCGTTTGTTGGTTGATTATTCGTGATTGTTGAAAAAAGAAAATCCGGAAAAATCGAAGCGATGGACGAGAGGGAAGGAATTATCTTTCCTAAAGGAAAAGGATTATATTTTTTTTTCTTTTACAGGAAGGCGATTTGCGGAACAAGATCTTTACCTTTTGCTCATCAAGGTCTTGCAAAAGTACGACCTTTCTTATCCAACTGACGAACCCGAATTGGGTCAGAAGTACATGACGTTGCTGTTCCCGGATCGTCCGGTCCGGGTTCTCTTCTCGCGAAAGCAGTGAGTTTTCGAATGACAAAAACAATATAACAGCCATAACAGCCCGCGACATTTTTTTTTTATCTGGCATTTGTGAAGTTTCATGTGATTCGCTTTGATTACTAATAAATTTGACTTTTGGCATTCGTAATGAATACAATGAGTGCAATGCGATTTCGGATCTGTGACAATTATGCTTTTGGTGATGAGATTTTGTTTTTCCGATTGGAAAATATGGGAATACACGTGTGTATTTTTCTGCAATCGGTGGGTTATTTATCCAGGATGGACTTGGAAAAGGTTAACCACGAGTTTCAAGCAAACAGCGACCTCTTGTGAGCTTTTGAATCATCATTTCGTTTAATGTCGAATTAAATTCCTTTGAATTCCGTTTCACATTAGCTCAGAAATCGTTTTTTCCATCCTAGCCTTGACATTGTCTCGATATTTTATTGACTTTAAAAGCTTTTAAATACGATGTTCTTCAAAAGCCAGTTTACCTCAGGAAATGTTTCAAAAAAAGAATATTCTATTTCGAAGTCCCCGAATAATATCGTGTCTGAATTGAAGGGGTCTGAATTTTTTTTTTTATTTATGGCACAACAATTATTCAAAGCCAAATACGTTTTTGCGAAATTCTATTGTATGACGAACGTGATTACATTCGTGCTAAACCAGAGCCCAGAACCTTTTGAATAGCTGTGATGTGTATTGACACGAGTGGTTTATTTTCTCGGTCCGTTCTTTCTTGTATTAATTTATGCAGTGCGTCAATTCTTCATGGTGGTCAATTTCGTGTAATAAGTTTTTTTTTCTTTCTTGCTGTTGTGCAGAAGAGGTTATTTTGGCACTCGGTGAAATCATGTTTTCGAGCAGTTCGGAAACGAATCCGAACGCCATGTGGTTGAGTGGGCGAGGGATGTGGTTCACTTACGTGTTCGGCGTTTTCGCGTTGCACATTTTCCTGCTGTCCATCCCGTTCCTCAGCATTCCTTGGGCCTGGACTCTCACCAACATCACGCACGACATCGTGAGTCAATCTTTCTTTACTGTTGCAGTTTATTCGCGATGTTTGAAATTGTCCGTTCTGCCAAAGTTCAGCGGTGTCGCGGTCAATGCGGAAATGATCCTCTCGATTGGGAAGTCTACTAACCGAGTTGGGTAACTTTAGGGTGTGTCGAATGACAAGATATATTTCAGACCGACCGACCCCACGCTC